AACGTTATAACTATAGACTCACTTTCTGAACAATGACTTGCTGTCATTATTATATGTATTGCATAACGAAGTCAATGGTGGAAAGTAACAAGAAACAATGCATAAAAATCTCGCCAGATATATCCGAGTTTCACTTGTCATTGTGTTACTGCGGCTACATCGATTATTTATTATTTGCTCGTAAAGACAGTTTTTAGTTGAAGTAGAAATTTCTTAAAAAAAATTTAATGCATTTTATTTGTATTGTTTCTATTGTAAGCATCTATTTTTGTGATATCTGTGCATAGAAATAATTGGTCTAATGTTGAAGCGAAATTGTCATGTCCTTGGTAAATTGGAAATAGCAATATGAAAGTGAAGATGGCTTAGTAAGCTTAAAGGACGACTTCCTGTTCTACAGGGTGGGCCACGAAGGTGCAATTTCAATATTCAATTAAAAAATACCTACGCAATATAAAAGAAAAATAAATTTATTTTTGAAAAGTAAAAAGATAAGAATTTTTAAGACTAAAAAATAACGTTGTTCAAATGACTTTCTTCGCCTGCTTCGCACTCTTAAAACTGAAGCTGCAGATTTTGGAAAACTCGTTGAAAAGTTTTTTCGGTATTTTGTTAGTTTCCTGCACAATATTCCTCTTCAGCTGCTCTGGATTATTCTCGAAGACCACCGATTTGAGGTAGCCCCATAGGAAATAATCGCAAGGAGAAAGATCGAGGCTACGTTTTGGCCATTCAATATCCCCCCTTTTCGAAATGACTTTTCCGGGAAAGACATTTTTCAGCAGCTCTATAGATACCCTAGCTGTATGACATGTGGCCCCATCTTGTTGAAACCACATTCTAGAGGTATTGCCTTGGAGTTCTTGCAAAGCTGGCATCAAAAAGTCTGTCATCATATTGCAATAATTGTAAGTCTTAACTGTCATCGCTTGCCCTCTTTCGTCCTCAAAAAAGTACGGTCCAATAATACCGGTTGACGTAATTCCAGCCCACACGACTAGTTCGCACCAGAACCGACAATTCTGTTAACATGGCCATTGAGGTGAAAATTGGCCTCATCACTAATCATCACGTTGTTAAAACTGTTGATTCGGTCGAGCATCGAATTAACAAAGTTAAGTGGGTTATTGGCATTATCTGGCTTTAATTCTTGGACTAGTGGAATCTTATAAGCCTTCAAATGCAAATTACGCTTCAAAATTCGCCGCAAGCTCGTTCTTTTGATGTCCAAAGCCTGACTTCTCTTACGTGCTGGCTGTTGCGGTTTTCGCTCAACTGAAACACGAACACGCTCTACATTGTCGAGCCATTTTCCGTATCACATTGCCGCTTGGAACTTCTCTTAAATCGCGTAAACCGGGTTCACGTCGATACAAACATTGTGCAGTAATTACCGATTTATTGTTTTCATAATACGCTTGGACACAAAATGCACGCTGCGCTCCCGTGTACAGCTCCATGGCGACTAAATTTCCATGCAACGGCGCGGCTAACAGCTTACGCGTTTCCGCGAAATTTAAGATTTAAATCACCAACACTCTTATGGCCCACCCTGTATAACAAAATAAGTTATATCGTAAGGGTGCGGCAAAAATAACTTCATGATGTTCGCAACCGCTAGATATGGTTCAGATTCGCAAATATACTAAGTGACATATAAATCCGAACACCCAGTTTAAATGGTTTTATTTTAATAAAATTTTGTATAAGTACTTAATGAAGCATAATAAGTAACTGATAAAAATTTCAAAATGATTGCACTGCTTTAAAGCCCTTTGACCTTTAATAATGTGTGGATGTACCCTGATGTGCTACGCATTCTCCAACGCGCCTAGGCATGCTTCTGATCAGGTGGTCAATGTCGTCCTGTGGTATCTCATTCCAGGCAACCACCAACTTGTCTCGAAGTGCTTCTAGAGTCTGAGGAGGACGGGACGTTGCAAATTGAGCAATTTCCTACCCATCATATCCCACACGCGCTCAATTGGGGATAAGTCGGGAGATCTTGGTGGCCATGGTAACAATGTGACATCATTATGTTGAAAGAAGTCTATTATGACTCTTGCAACATGTGGTCGGGCATTATCTTGTTGGAAAGTTGGATCTGCCAGGGTGTCAAGATAGGGTAAAAGATGGGGTTCTAGAACTTCGTGGATATAACGCTGCGCGTTGATGTTACCTCTGATGAAGATTAAAGGTGACCTGGAACCATAAGCTATAGCACCCCAAACCATAACTCCAACAGTGTGATGAACATGTCTTTCAACAAAAAACTGTGGATTCCTCCTTTCACCACGTCGCCTTCTAACCCTGGCACGACCATCGTGAATGCCTAAAAAAAATCGAGACTCGTCACTAAAGACAATACTGTTCCATTCCTGATCCCAGAGTGACCGTTGTCTGCACCACTCAAGGCGATTACGTCGGTGTTCTCGAGTTAAAGGGAGGACCCAGTGTGGCCGGTATGAAAACAAGCCAAAACTTCTCATTTGTCGGTAAACACTTCGCATGCCAATAAGTCTTCCATGTTCTGCAAACCATTCATTTGCAATGGACCTGGTAGTGGAGAAACGGTCCCTTAAGGCCAATAATCTTAGGCGGCGATCTTCACGGTCTGTTGTTCTACGGCGGCGTTCAGTGCCCCTTGCTCTTTGCGTACGGCCTTCTCGAAGCCATGCCTGACAACACCTAACCACAGTGTCTACACTTCTTTGCACTCTAACTGCAATTGCCCGAAAAGAAAGCCCAGCTTCCCGAAGTCCCACTATACGGCCCTCTATCAAACTCACTAAGTTGACGAAATCGTACAGGTCTCCGTACTCTAGGCATCGTAACCGATCGTAAAGGATGTCAAGAACCAAAATCCGCCAAAATTGATTCGTTACTGCAGCTGAAATATTCATTTTTAGAGCGTTAGTGAATTTAAAAAAAGCAGTATAAAAACCGGAATGTCCAAGTGATAAGGCTGACAATTTTTTCACTTGTTATTTAAGATAAATTTATACATTCACCAACTTTTATTAAAGTAAAACCATTTAAACTGGGTGTTCGAATTTATATGTCACTTAGTATAATATAATTTTTGCGAGATTCCATTAATTTGGGCATTTTAACGGTTTGTAACAATTATTTTATTTAAAGATACTGAGATACGGGTCAATCTCAGTATTATCAAAGAATGATCTTAGCAACACTTCCGCCCACGATGAGCTAATATATATTTTGGATGCATCAACTATTTCTATTTAGATTATATCCAGTGATTAGAAAGACGCAAGGGACAGAGGCTGGGACATACATTAAGTACCATGCCCCGCTGAAAAGGTAGAAGGTTAACGAATGGCGCGTCTATTTATTATTGGTAGATTCAAGATTTAATTTATTCATACAATTTACATATATAAATGATATGTGCATGTCAATTGGAACAGTGCTAACAATGTAATGAGCATACAAGTATATACAGGGTGAAAAGTTTCGAAGTTCAAAGTACCTCCGGAGAGCGACGCATAAGAACCGAATTTTCCCAAAATCGTTTAAACTTTTTCCTGACTTTAGGGATTTCGAAATAAATTCCACATTGACACTTTTTCTCCTCTACAAGCTGGCATGATTAGAGTTTCGATATGACGTTTCGTTTTGTCCTCCAGCATCAACTTTATTTTTACTTATGGACGCCATATTGGGTTCTTGCCAGGTGGATAGCGTGTTTAATTATGACTCAAAAAATGTATAACACGTCATACATTGACGGTGCCAAACCTCCGTTATACCAAAAAAGCAGAATTTCCTAGACAGGCCTTGAAATTATCAGTCATTTGTTTGGCATACCAGATTTATTCCAAAATCATTTTTCTTGACTTTTTTAGAGACGAGATTTCAAAATAAATTGTATGTTGTCATTGTTATTCTCGTTCACCTAGTCAAATTACGACATTTCTTCTTTCGACTTTCATCACCAATCATCATCAATGTATGATAATCAGAATTAAAAACTATACTAAGTGACATATAAATCCGAACACCCAGTTTAAATGGTTTTATTTTAATAAAATTTTGTATAAGTACTTAATGAAGCATAATAAGTAAATGATAAAAATTTCAAAATGATTGCACTGCTTTAAAGCCCTTTGACCTTTAATAATGTGTGGATGCACCCTGATGTGCTACGCATCCTCCAAAGCGCCTAGGCATGCTTCTGATCAGGTGGTCAATGTCCTCCTGTGGTATCTCATTCCAGGTAACCACCAACTCCTCTCGAAGAGCTTCTAGAGTCTGAGGAGGACGTTGCAAATTGAGCAATCTCCTACCCATGATATCCCACACGTGCTCAATTGGGGATAAGTCGGGAGATCTTGGTGGCCATGTGACATCATTATGTTGAAAGAAGTCTATTGTGACTCTCGCAACATGTGGTCGGGCATTATCTTGTTGGAAAGTTGGATCTGCCAGGGTGTCAAGATAGGGTAGAAGATGGGGTTCTAGAACTTCGTGGATATAACGCTGCGCGTTCATGTTACCTCTGATGAAGATTAAAGGTGACCTGGAACCATAAGCTATAGCACCCCAAACCATAACTCCAACAGTGTGATGAACATGTCTTTCAACAAAAAACTGTGGATTCCTCCTTTCACCACGTCGCCTTCTAACCCTGGCACGACCATCGTGCATGCCTAAACAAAATCGAGACTCGTCACTAAAGACAATACTGTTCCACTCCTGATCCCAGAGTGACCGTTGACTGCACCACTCACGGCGATTACGTCGGTGTTCTCGAAGTAAGATAAATATACGTACATTCACCCACTTTTATTAAAATAAAACCATTTAAACTGGGTGTTCGGATTTATATGTACCTTAGTATACATTCACCTGTACAAAAACTTGATGCTTTAAGACAAGGGATGAAACGTCATATTGAAATTCTAATTATGCCTTCTTAAAGAGGAGAAAAAGTGGTAATGTTAATGTGCAATTCATTTTGAAATCGCACTACAAATAAAGTCAGGAAGAAATTAAAACGCAACTTTGCCCCTATCTAAGCAACTTAGGGAATAATTTGAAAAACACTGTATACACATACGAGGGATGTCTTTTAAGTTTTGCATATGTAAATAAAACAACACGGTAGGTAGTTTTAAATGACTTTATTGTTTTTCGAAGTATTCTCCACGAATATTAATACACATCTGCATGCGCTCGAACCAATTTTCGAAGCACTTATTCCACTCGTTTGCTGGCAGATCCAGAACGGCATTTTTGAATGCGTCAACTGCTTCTTCTGGTAACTGGAACCTTTGACCATGCAGTCTGTTTTTAATTTTTGGGAAAGTAAAGAAATCGTTAGGACTTAGATCGGGACTATATGAAGGATGGTCCAATAATTCCACGTTTTCTTCCGTTAAAAACTGACTTGTTTTTTGGGCTGTGTGCAAGCTTGCATTGTCTTGGTGGAGGATGATTCTTCTTTCGGGGTTGATTTTTCGAAGCTCGGTGATGACTTTTGGCCAAAAAATGGTTGTATACCAATCCGCAGTAACAGTTCATTGCTCGTTAAAGGACATCAGTAAGGTCATAGTAGCACATGGCAGGGTATTAGGTCTAGAAATTTTCTGACCTTGGAGTACATGCTAGCTAGAGTTCAAGGCTGAAGTCACCATTGAAAATAAAACGTTTTTACTTGACGTTTCGCCAACTTCAGAAGATGTCCACAGTTTGGAGCTACTGTTTTTCATCAACAATCCTGCAAAACTTCCAGGAATTTTTCCTAACCTCGCATATTTGACCTTTATTTAACATTTAGAGGTTACCTAGACCTTAGACTGTAATACACATTTGGAGGTAGAATTTTCCACTATTTCAACTACTGGTGTCACAAAGAAGCGTTTTAATTTAAACAACAAAAGTCTACCTTGGAATAAATGACCTTGAAGCAGTCAAGGTCAAATCCAAGATCACCGTTGGGCTTCTAATTCTAAGTTAGTATGAACCAGATTTAAAAATACAGTAACTGGAAAAATAGAGAGCCGTTCCGTTATTTGTTGCACTCATCTCTCATAAAAATAAGCAGATAAGCAAAATATCCCTATAGCAGCACACCAAAGGCTTAAATTACCGACATATCAGGTTCCTTAAAAACCTGCTTGGCCAAATACAGCCCTAGCATCCAGCCGATAAGTAGATGAGAAGGCAAGACCAGCATTAGTATTTAGCTTATGTAGGTAAACCGATATGTTTGTTTACAAATCGACTTTAAAAGGATAATGATTTATAATCGTGGAAACTTATTGTATCCAGTAGTTGGTAAAGTGACCAATACTACTTACGGAACTAGATTCCTGTTATGTATCCTGCCCCAACTGTTGTGATATCAAAATACATCCGGCAACGTTTCGAAATAGTCGCGCTACCAGCACGCTTACCAACTACCAATTTACCAAAAAACAAGTCACTTTCTCTGTTCAATCAGCCTGTGGTTTGCGCTCGCGGCTTTTGGCGCCTTTTATTTTTAGAATTCACTATTTTGCCTTATTATTGTAATGTCGCGGCGTTAAATGCCGCGAATAATCGTAATCCAGAAAAAGGAAAAAATACCATACCGTCAGCACGGTCTTTCCCACTCTACGATAGATAACTGGAGGCATGTAAATCGACTCAATACGTTCAGGAAGCGGCATATTTTTAATCATAAGAAATTACGACTGTATTTTTAGTTCGCTGTATTAGCATCTAAATAAATTCTTGTTTTTAACTTTCCCTTTTATTTCTTTTTTACTTTTTAAGGCCGTATGTCACGATACCGGTGGGACAAGTGTATCTATTAGTTTTAATGGACAGTATTCTGAAGGAGATAAGGCTCCTTTGTGAAAAAGTTGAAAATAGGTAGCTATTGCAAAATAATTCCGTTTTTTTTAGTACCCCCTCGTATACAGGGTGTTTCAGTTTATTGTTGCATAACTTTAAGATTCGATAGAACTTTTAAAATTAATGCATAAAGTCCATATAAACATGGGTCGAAAAATGCGTGGCTTCCGAAATACAGGGTATTTAAATTTACTTTCTAAAATAGTTTTTTTTAAATATTTCGAACAATATTTGATGTATAACAGTAAAAATTGGTATACAAAAGTTTTTTGGTACGACAAAACGAACCATGGCCATAGTTTTACTGTAGCCGCTAGAGGGCGCTCTCTACTGTACCTGTAGTGTATTAAAATGATCGAAAAATTTTTCTTAGTGCAATTTTTTGCTTTTTGAATAACAAAACTGATTCTTCGCACTTTATAACATAAAAAAGCCCTTTTGTGAATTTTCGTTATGGTTAGCCATTTTTGAGATATTTCGATTTTTAAGGTTCGATGCATTTTAAATTATTTATGATAAAATAACGTTAACAAGTCAGTATCTCGATAATTTTTAGAAGTAGGCTGTGCCTGCAAATTTTTTTGAAATTGAAAGCAGAATAAGGTTAAATGTCACTTAGTTGACAGTTCTCCACGATCCCCTGACCTAAATCCATTAGATTTCTTTGTGTGGGGATTTCTAAAAGAAAAAGTGTACCAGACTCCCGTAACCACAAGAGATATGCTAATAGACAGAATCAGGAATGCATGTGATGAAAAGGCCTTATTTGAATAATGCTATATCACGTTCGATCATTCGTAGATGTGAATTGTGTATTGAACAATTGGGTTTACATTTCGAGCAACTACTTTAGATTTTGTATGTTTGTCCTAACTATCCAATAGCATTTTAGTTGTAAATAATTAATTTAATTTGTTAAAAATAGTATTGGAAAATTAAAAAAATTAATATTCGGTTTTTTGTGTTTATTTGGAGTTAGGAATTACTGCTGTGTGTCATTTAAATACACTGCAGGTACAGTAGAGAGCGCCCTCTAGCGCCTACACTAAAACTATGCCCATGGTTCTTTTGTCGTACCAAAAAACCCTTGTATACCAATTTTCGCTGTTATACATCAAATATTGTTCGAAATATTTAAAAAAAACTATTTTAGAAAGTAAATTTAAACATCCTGTATTTCGGAAGTCCCGCATTTTTCGACCCATGTTTATATAGACTTTATGCATTAATTTTAAAAGTTCTATCGAATCTTAAAGTTATGCAACAATAAACTGAAACACCCTGTATATTTCAGCTCAATTGGTGAAGGTGAACTTGTCCAAAATTCAGTTTCAATATTTGTTCCACACATATAGTACTAACAAACATACTAACGAATACGCTAACTTGTATTCAGCAACAGGGTGATGTTAAAAAAAAATTTCAGGGCTCATGCCTCTCTAGCCACTTGACAACAGAATATAAACAAAGCAGATGCTTTCGACGCTTCCATATGAATAGACCGTTATCGTTAATATTTATTATATTTTTTTCTATTCATCATTGTATGTCAGAGCGACCTGTAGGACCCTTGTTCTTGGTTAAATTATTGTAAGCCATCAGGTCTGCCAGATGTGGTTGCCCAGATATCAGACAAACTCAGGGAGAAGCAAGGGTAGATGAAAGACAGGAAGGAAGGACGGAGAGAATTGAGGAAGAAGTGTATCAATTGGCATTATTAACAAGCTAGTATTGGGTAATTTTAGATTGATCCTGAAATTAATTTAGAGATTTGTCGTTGAAGAAGAATTATAATTTTGGTTGGACCTAAAGTGGCAGGATTTAATTTTGTTCACTGTGCGAGCCAAGGCCTTTTGTGCATACGAACTTGTTCGACTGCGTAGTTCACTGATTCGCGCAACAATGTGTTTCTATGCGATTCCGCTTGACTATAACGTAGCTACGCTTGTTGTTCGATGTTGTCGCTAGATAAGGGATGTCAAGGTCTCTGTGAAGGGTATCATTTTAGACATACCATGGTGCGTTAGTGATAGTACGCAAGGTTCTGTCAGATTACAAACTTAATTTTGAGGTTATACATAGCATAGGGTAAAGTTGCCGAAACGTGATCTGGAATTTAGATTTTAACAGTGCATTGTGCTGCCAGGTAATCCCCTTGCCAAGACTGACACCAAGATACTTAGCAGAATTTTCCCATAGGACGCGAGCTCCGTTCATTGAAACCTCAGATGGGGCTCCGCTACAATCTTTAGTGCAATTTAAGCCTGCGTTTTCGAATGACTAATTTTGATCAGCCATCTATCCGCCCATTCCAATACCTCCTCCACCGCACTTTGAAGCCTGTCATAATCCAAAAATTCTCAGAACACGACTGAGCTACCAGGGCAGTGTCGTCAGCATAGAGATAGACTTCACAGTTGCTGCGGCATGAGACGGCATCAATAAAAAGTGAATAAAGGATTGGTCCAAGAACCGAACCCTGAGAGACACTGGCTCTGACAGGCCGCGTTCTCGACAGAAGGTTATTAATTTTGATCCACAATTTCCTACTCTCAAGGAAGGATTTGGAAAGTTTTAGGAGCCAGAAGGGGAAGCGTTTTCGGATCAATTTACGGAAGAGTCCCTTATGCCATACCTTGTCAAATAAATTTAAGTCATCCAGAAACAAGATGCCAGTTCTTTTGTTAAGGGTAAAGCCCCTGGTTACTCGCTTAACAAGCCTGCAACTCCGTACTATGCTCAGACCGGAAGACAAATAGTACGTCAGGAATCACAATGTCGTCTAGCGAGGTCAAGGTGGCGTAGAGTGCTTACAAGGACCCGGCAGTAGAATATCAAATCCACCTTCTTTTTAATCATAACATGAGCGGCCTTCCACGTCGCTGTGAAGTACTTGGGTCCTTAGCATAGCATTGATCATTGCCACGAGATAAGTTAAGGACTTCCGCAAAAGCAGCTTCAGTGCCTTATCAGTGATTCGATCCTCTCCAGGTGCTTTACGCAACTTGAGGCCTTTAATATGACCTTGAAGCTCTGCTGATGTGCAATGCAGGACCTCGGGAGATTCCGCTGAAGTGCCGTTCAACTCTTCAGCTAAGGGAGCTTCTGAAGAAGACTTCTCTGAGGAAAAATCACTAAGGGAGACGCTACTACCACTGACGCCATTAGTCATAAGATATATTCTGACGGAGCTTATGACGCGTTTCTCCTCACCGGGTTCATTATTAAGGTCATAGTTAGGAGAGAACTGTCTTTCCATAGCATCAGAGAAAACCTTGACATTTTCCTCTGTCCGAAAGGCTATGCCTCTAGGATCGTGGATGTGCGGGAGTTGTACTCGCTTTCCGTTTCTGAGTTACTTCGCAGCTTTCCAGAAAGGAATACTTGAGTCAAGGATCCCCATCAGAAAGTTGCTCCATTGCTCATTACGAAATTCATGAAGAACATTTCTCATTTCATGAATAAGGTTTATTGCTCTGCGAATATTGTCGGAAATTTATTATCTCATCATAGTCGAAGGTGTCGGTAATGAAGATTCACATTATTTGTTCAAAATACTTTTTTCGTAAATATAGCCGACCTTCCAATTCCAAGCAATATCAAGTTCAATTTTCTGTCTTCTGAGCAAAATGGAAATATAAAAATAAATCATCAGCTCATTATGACCCATGACTAATGTGGCG